AAAATGTCTGGCCCCTCCGACCGTCGTTTTGACTTGAACCTTGTTGAAGAGGCAGCCCCGCCTTCTCCAGACAACATATGGCGCCCATCCTTCGTCTCCCCTACTGGTCCTCTTACCGTTGGGGATTCCGTGATGAAGAATGATATGACCGCTGCGGTGGTGGCCAGGAACCTTCTCACTCCCAAAGATAACAGACTACTTTCCAAACGGTCTGATGAGTTAGCTGTTAAGGATTCGCTGGCTCTCAGTGTTCAGTGTGCAGGTTCTGTGTGTGTAATATGGCCCAACGCCTATTTGCTCGAACCCGCCAAGTTGAATCATTGGCGGCTGAAGTGATGAGTCTCAAACAGGAGATTAGAGGGCTCAAGCATGAGAATAAACAGTTGCACCGGCTCGCACATGACTATGCTACAAACATGAAGAGGAAGCTTGACCAGATGAAGGAAACTGATGGTCAGGTTTTACTTGATCATCAGAGATTTGTGGGTTTGTTCCAAAGGCATTTATTGCCTTCGTCTTCTGGGGCTGTACCGCGTAATGAAGCTCCAAATGATCAACCTCTGATGCCTCCTCCTTCTAGGGTTCTGTCCAGTACTAAGGCTCCAAATGATCCCCCTCCGGTGCCTTCTCTTTCTGGGGCTCTACCAACTGCTGAGACTTCTCCTAAGCAACCTTTGTGAAGGCTCCCTCTTGTGTGTTTATTTTGACTCATGTATATGTACATATTTGTAGCTTATCGGGGATATCAATAAATAAGCTTTCCTTCATTTCAACGTATTGTGTTAAATACACCAAAGCCTTCTTCGCTAAGTTCTTTGAATTTTCTTTTGTTGAAGCTTGTATGTTGAAGCTTTCTGAGTGGAGCATGTAGGTTGGGGTAGTGTTCCCTTAATTTCCCGAGTGAGGAAAACTTCTCGGTTGGAGACTTGGAAAATCCAAGTCACTGAGTGGGATCGGCTATATGAATCTTAGAACGCCATTGTGCTCGATCCTGTGTCATGTCCTTCGTTAGATCCAAGTACTCTAAGTCTTTTCTTAGAGTCTCTTCCAAAGTTTTCCTAGGTCTTCCTCTACCCCTTCGGCCCTGAACCTCTGTCCCATAGTCGCATCTTCTAATCAGAGCGTCAGTAGGCCTTCTTTGCACATGTCCAAACCACCGTAACCGATTTTCTCTCATCTTTCCTTCAATTTCGGCTACTCCTACTTTACCCCGGATATCCTCATTCCTAATCTTATCCTTTCTCGTGTGCCCACACATCCAACGAAGCATCCTCATCTCCGCTACACCCATTTTGTGTACGTGTTGATGTTTCACCGCCCAACATTCTGTGCCATACAGCATCGCCGGCCTTATTGCCGTCCTATAAAATTTTCCCTTGAGCTTCAGTGGCATACGGCGGTCACACAACACGCCGGATGCACTCTTCCACTTCATCCATCCAGCTTGTATTCTATGGTTTAGATCTCCATCTAATTCTCCGTTCTTTTGCAAGATAGATCCTAGGTAACGAAAACGGTCGCTCTTTGGTATTTCTTGATCTCCGATCCTCACCCCTAACTCGTTTTGGTCTCCATTTGCACTGAACTTGCACTCCATATATTCTGTCTTTGATCGGCTTAGGCGAAGACCTTTAGATTCCAACACTTCTCTCCAAAGGTTAAGCTTTGCATTTACCCCTTCCTGAGTTTCATCTATCAACACTATATCGTCTGCGAAAAGCATACACCAAGGAATATCATCTTGAATATGTCCTGTTAACTCATCCATTACCAACGCAAAAAGGTAAGGACTTAAGGATGAGCCTTGATGTAATCCTACAGTTATGGGAAAGCTTTCGGTTTGTCCTTCATGAGTTCTTACTGCAGTCTTTGCTCATTCGTACATATCCTTTATAGCTTGGATATATGCTACTCGTACTCCTTTCTTCTCTAAAATCCTCCAAAGAATGTCTCTTGGGACCCTATCATACGCTTTTTCCAAATCTATAAAGACCATGTGTAAATCCTTTTTCCCATCTCTATATCTTTCCATCAATCTTCGTAAGAGATAGATTGCCTCCATGGTTGAGCGCCCTGGCATGAACCCGAATTGGTTGTCCGAAACCCGTGTCTCTTGCCTCAATCTATGCTCAATGACTCTCTCCCAGAGCTTCATTGTATGACTCATTAGCTTAATACCCTATAGTTCATGCAATTTTGTACGTCGCCCTTATTCTTGTAGATAGGCACCAAAGTGCTCGTTCGCCACTCATTTGGCATCTTCTTCGTTTTCAAAATCCTATTGAAAAGGTCAGTGAGCCATGTTATACCTGTCTCTCCCAAAAGTTTCCACACTTCGATTGGTATATCGTCTGGGCCTATTGCTTTTTTATGCTTCATCTTCTTCAAAGCTACAACCACTTCTTCCTTCCGGATTCGACGATAAAAAGAGTAGTTTCTACACTCTTCTGAGTTACTCAACTCCCCTAAAGAAGCACTCATTTCATGTCCTTCATTGAAAAGATTATGAAAATAACCTCTCCATCTGTCTTTAACCGCGTTCTCTGTAGCAAGAACCTTTCCATCCTCATCCTTGATGCACCTCACTTGGTTTAGGTCCCTTGTCTTCTTTTCCCTTGCTCTAGATAGTTTATAGATATCCAACTCTCCTCCTTTGGTATCTAGTCGTTTATACATATCGTCGTAAGCCGCTAACTTAGCTTCTCTGACAGCTTTCTTCGCCTCTTGCTTCGCTTTTCTATACCTTTCACCATTTTCATCGGTCCTCTCCTTGTATAAGGCTTTACAACATTCCTTCTTAGCCTTCACCTTCGTTTGTACCTCCTCATTCCACCACCAAGATTCCTTTTGGTGTGGGGCAAAGCCCTTGGACTCTCCTAATACCTCTTTTGCTACTTTTCGGATACAACTAGCCATGGAATCCCACATTTGGCTAGCTTCCCCCTCTCTATCCCATACACATTGGGTGATTACCTTCTCTTTGAAAATTGCTTGTTTTTCTTCTTTTAGATTCCACCATCTAGTCCTTGGGCACTTCCAAGTCTTGTTCTTTTGTCTTACTCTTTTGATATGTACATCCATCACCAACAAGCGATGTTGATTAGCCACGCTCTCTCCTGGTATAACTTTGCAATCCTTACAAGTTATACGATCCCCTTTCCTCATTAGAAGAAAATCTATTTGTGTTTTTGACGACCCACTCTTGTAGGTGATCACATGTTCTTCTCTCTTCTTAAAGAAGGCGTTGGCTAAGAAGAGATCATATGCCATTGCAAGAAATTAGGAGAAAGAAATTTCTTGAACAGATAAACAACATGACGGAGCAAGAACGTACCGCAATTCTTTGCTGATTTAGACCACCTTCAGCGTGAATAAATATGTACCCAGTTGTTTCGTTTTCAGGTGGAAGATCTGCACAATGCCAGAAAGATTCTAAATTTAGAACGGTAGAACTAGACATAGTATTAAAGAAGATCACAGATCCAGTGCATCAAGTCAACAACAAAACAAGAGCTCAGCTCACCTGAAATCCCACCAAGGCGGCGCTCGGCACAGGGCTTCCAAGATGTGGTTGCTGAATACGGATTCTCCCACAGCGAAGGGGTTTCCTTGACCTAGAAATGTAAATTTAAGTTCAACAATCTCACAATTACATCACAGAAATTCCAATATTGACCAAGCAAACAGCTTTCCCCAACTTACATGAGGACAGTGAAGAGTAATTCCATCTTTTTTACACAAGTAAGGAGCATTCTGCAACAGAAAGCCAAACAAACTAATTGAAAAACATCGAATTGCACAGCTCTAAGCAAGATTATCTTATCCCAATTGTCAAACACCAGAAATCCGAACAGGAAAAAGCACAAAGAAGCCATACCACTCGTTTCACGATCGCCAGAATCGAGACCAGGCCGAGGATTGCGACGGCGATGACAATGAAGAGTGAGATCCTGGAGCTGTTGGAGTCGTCGGAAATGGAGGGGCAGATGGATTGGAAATAGGAGAGGAAGGGACGGTCGCGATCTTTGAAGGGGGGGCGACCGCGGCCGTCGTCGTCGTCTTGGGGCTGAGTGTCGGAGATGAAAGGGGAGGAGTCCTCGTCGCGCTTCATTGGAGAAGAAGTGGCTCGAGCCCCCATCGAGATGGAGTGCCTGAGCTCCGCCATGGCTCGTTTCGGACTGTAAGTCATGTTTCTTTCGAGGTTTTTCTGCTTCTGGTTTGTTAAATGTGGAGTGGGGTAAAGCCAAAAGCCGATGTAGCTTATTTTAACCTAATTAGTGTAATGATTCTTTAATTAAAAATCTGTAATTAACTCATTAAAATACGTAGTTATGATCATTTTTATTGTTAGATGCTACATCGTTCAGGGGAATAGATCTTCTATACTTTATATACATGCTCATCTCTATTAACACAAGGTTTTTTGAGAACTCACTAACTTCGGGTTCCATATGAACTCCGAAGTTAAGCGAAAAATGAGTCAGAGCATACCCATGATGGATGACTAGAGAGTCCCTCAAACTCCATTATAGCAATGATCATTCCAACATGACTTATTTTGACATAATTCTGACAGGGCTGACGAAAAGGACATAATTCTGACGAGGTTGACGAAAATAATCATAACTACACATTTTAAAGAGTTAAAAAATCAATAATAATAGATTTTTAGTTGAAAGACCATTATTTCAATTGGATTTAAATTGAATAACCATTTCTACAATTTTCTCTTATTTTTGTTTATGCGCAATGTAAATGACATTTTCGGACATTTAGACTAATTCCAACCTTGAAATAAGTCTCAAAATTGGATTTGGATTGTCTAACCTTCTCATCTTATACCCTTCATATGCTCTCTTATTTCTGTGATCACGGTTAAGCCACGTTAATATTTTATATTCTTACTTAATATTTTATTATTTTTATAAAAAAATAACATAAAATATTAACGTGACTTAACCGTGATCACATGATACAGAATATATGAGGGCATGGGAGGGCATAGAATGGGGAGGGAGACAATCCAAGTCCCTCAAAATTTGCTTTCTATTCCCGTCGAAAACACGCAGACACAGAGCCGAGGAGCTCGGCACTCTACAAGCACACCAGTGACCGCTACATGGCGGCCACTCGAGGCCTCCCGTCTTCCTTCCAAAACCCTGCCTTCCCACCCGGGCCCAAATGTCCCATTCCTTCCTCCGCCGCTTTCCATATCAAAGCCTCCACCTTTACGAAGAAGAAGCAGTACAGCAGCAACATCATCAGGTGCGACAACAAGAGCTTCGGCCACCCGCACAACCTGACCATCGAGCGGGACTCTCCGGTTCACGTCTTCCGCGATGCTTCCGAAGCCCAATTGTCAATGGCCTCCGATTCGGCAGGGAAGAAGGCGAAGAATGTTTGCCTTTTCTACTGCGCCGAGACCAAAGCCCTCGCCCAGAACGTCGCCGCCCAGTCGGACTCCATCGTGCTCCGCAGTATCACGTGGAGGTGAGAGCTCCGACTGCAAGCGTGGCAATTGGGCATTTTGCCTCCAAGAATTTAACTTTCGTTTGCGGGATTTGTTTCTGTTGCTTCAATTTTGTAAATTTTGGATTCTTTTAGGAAATTTGATGATGGGTTCCCCAACATTTTCATACCCAATGCTCAAGGAATTCGAGGGCATCATGTGGCGTTTCTGGCCTCGTTTAGCTCCCCGTCGGTCATTTTCGAGCAGTTATCTGTGATTTATGCATTGCCCAAGTTGTTCATCTCCTCATTCACTCTGGTGCTTCCATTTTTTCCGACGGGGACTTCAGAGCGTATGGAGGATGAGGGAGATGTCGCCACTGCTTTCACGCTCGCCAGGGCATTGTCGAACATTCCCATTTCGATGGGAGGCCCTACTAGTTTAGTCATCTATGATATCCATGCCTTGCAGGTTTTTCTATACCACATTTAGTATACAAAATTGTCTTCTCTTAGTAATGAGCAATGTGCAATGATTTCTGACCGTGTTGTTTTGATTGTTTGTTGCGTGTTTAGGAGCGGTTTTACTTTGGAGATAATGTCTTACCGTGCTTTGAGAGCGGGATCCCTTTGCTCAAAAATAGGCTTCAGCAGCTCCCTGATTCCGACAATGTAAACTGTGTTTCTCCTCCCCATCTGTTGAGTCCTAGAATCGTAGATGGCGACAAGGATTAATTATTCAAAACATTTCTTATTTCTGACATTGTGTGATGAATTTCTTCACAATTCAGATATCCATTGCTTTTCCTGATGATGGTGCATGGAAACGATTTCATAAGCAGCTGCATCATTTCCCAACAGTACGCTATGCTTTCCTTTTCCTAATAACAAGGAGTATATATTTCCTGTGCGCGTGTGTGTATGTTTAGTTGAAGCATATATATGATAATTGTCTTATTTTCGTCGCGTTTATTCTGGTTATTATGACTTAAAGGATCTGATCATTGATGCATGTGCAATACTCCTCATAGTTATTCATCTGAAAGCTTATAGTCTTGTGTATAAGGTAAAGCTAAACAGCGTTCGTTCAACTAATGTTGTGCCATCTCCTTCGCTGACATTTTCATGGGCCTTACATTTTCTGCGTGACGGCTTGTTTTAATTTATGTTTCTCGCCGACTGCCTAACCTTCAAAAACTTGAATGCAGATTGTCTGTGCTAAAGTTCGGGAAGGTGACCAACGAATCGTACGTATTAAAGAGGGAGACCCTAGAGGACGACATGTTGTGATTGTTGATGATTTGGTTCAGTCTGGTGGTACCTTGATCGAATGCCAGGTATCCAGATCCTGAGCAAACTTCTTACCTACTGCCTCATAAAGTTAATCTGAAATTCCATATTACGTTCTCATCTTGTTTTAGAAAGTTTTGGCCGCCCATGGAGCAGCAAAAATCAGTGCTTACGTAACACACGGGATCTTTCCTAATCGATCATGGGAACGCTTTCAAAGTGATTACGGAGGTATTACATGCTCTACTTACCACTATATGGTGCTAACTTGTCTGAGACTCTCCAAGTACAATTTCTAATTCCCTTGTGCATTCCTTCCTTCTCTTCCCAACCAGGGCACCCCGAGCATGGGCTGACCTACTTCTGGATTACGGACTCGTGTCCACTGACTGTGAAAGATGTGAAGAACAATCCGCCGTTTGAAGTTCTTAGCCTTGCTGGGTCCATAGCGACTACTCTGCAAATGTAAGAGTAACTTCGAAGCACTAGCTAGAAAGTGCCTTCTCTTTGGTTTTTGTTATGTTTTTGCCCCACCCTTTCTTCCTACGACGGGGTTGAATCAGGCGTAGAGAACATTAAAGCACTTGAGAATCCGGATGCGGCGAAGATTTTTTCACCTTTTTAGCAGATATGGTAGCCAACTTTGGAACTTCGATAACAATAAATTGGTTCGGTCCGTCAGCCAGAATGTAGCTCTAGGGATAGGCAAGAACGAATAACTGTTTATAACGTACAAAGTGGTTCTAGCATATACTTTCTTAAGTTATGGATTTTCGTAGTGTAATTCAACGATCGGAACCATTCAGCTTTTAAACTCTTTCAAGGACTATTCGTGCCAAATTTGCCCAAGTCAATATTTGTTAGCTTTTGATTATCTACATTTTCATTTCAACTTTATCTAGAGAATTGTGCCTTTTTGGTCGTTTTAAATGACGCATTAGTTTTGGATTTGGATGATTTTTTGCAGGATGGCCCATGAATGAAGACCTAAATATAGACGTCGCGCTCGTTTAAATCCATCATGGGATTAGCTTGACCATAACTTGAGAAAGCTACGGACATCCTTATTATAGAAAGCGTGTATGCATAAATAATACATGTCATATATTTACAGGCAAAACAAACAAAAACTTTCGATATTTATTGAACTCTCTTACAAATGCTGGTTCGTTCTGTGCTTACAAGTAAAAATTAATTAGTAATTACTCATATTAATTAATAAAAATGATTTTTTATTTTTTTAAGTAAAACAATAGCTTTAATAAGTTAAACCGTTAATTTGTTAGTTAGGGGAAGAATCGGTGAAGATCAAACCGTGACAAGCATAGGCATGATTTCCGTTAGTCCGTTAACAAAATGGTTTTTGTAACAGATACGCGATCAATTCATTCTTTGCCTAAAAAGTGCAGATCTGATGTACCTAACAGACTTAGTAGTAGTTTGGGATTGAGATGATTAAAAAAAAAGCTGGTATGAAAAAAGCTGGGAACTTTTTTGTGTTTGGTAAACATTCAGCTTCAACTTTTTTTTCACAGTTTTGGGTGAAAAAAAAACTAAAAACAAAGAAGCTGCAAAACCCAACTTTGAAAAACCGACTTTTGTTCACATCAGTTTTACATAAAAGTTTACCAAACATTATAATGCTATTTTTTTTTCAAAAGCATTTTTACAAAAAAATTTACTAAACACTCTACAGCTTTATTTCACAACCACTTATTATCACAGCACAGTATAAACAACTTTTTTTCAAAGCACAGCAATACCAATCCAACTCTTAACCCATCAGGCCAGCTCCCAAATCTCCACTTCTGCAACTCCAAATTCATACCGCGCAACCACCTCCTACAAGATAATGGCGACATGTGTATCACAACTCACGTATAACATATAACATTCGGATTAAAGATTCAAGCGGATGCATGATAAGTTGATAACCAAGTGATGAAAGCGAAAAATGAGCACAAGTACCTGTAGTTTGAGCAAAACTAAAACACATCCCTCCGCTGCTCCTCCTTTATCGCAATATCTATCTATTGAAGACTAATTCCGGGCCTATATCACACCTCGTTTGATACTTTTATGTAATTCAAGAGCTTTTTTAGAGCCTTTCCACTGTCAATTGCCTCTCTGGCTCTATCCAGGGCAGAGGTTATGTCTTCTGCACCATCACATCCAAGTAAGTGATCAATCATTCCAGCATTCAACACTATTCGATCATAAGCTGGTCCCTTTTGACCGCGGAGTGCTGTTAACCCCAACTCTATATTCTTCACGACCTAAACTCGCAGGAAAAGTAATTATTTGTCACAAATTGCTGGCTTGTAGAATATGAAAGTGCAAAAACCTGTGTGCGCACACGCACTTGTGTGTGAGTGAGAGAGAGAGCATGCCGCAAGATGGAAAGGGACTCTACCGATCTATCAGTTCTTGGAGTGTCAGTGGGTTCAAAACCATAGTCTACGGCATTAACCTCTAGACTGAAGCTCTGACGTGAAACACCTGCAAACCAAACTTTCAAGAGTCAGTCCCTCTGGTAGGATGCAAGAATCTCAACATTTGAGGCAGCTACATAAACAACACAGATCTTTGAAACTACTATTACAAGTGGTTGAGAAAAGACAGAAAATAACATAAGGACTCAAAGAACAAACCATCAACTTCACAAGAGGATGCAAAACTTGTTGAACGAAACCCCGAACAGTAGTTTACAGGAAGTCCTTTTGATGAATTTACTGAGCGCAATCTCGTTGTCATCGAGAGAGCTCCTTCCTCACCCTTCAGTAATAGTAAAGTTAGACGGTAGTAGTTTATTTGAGTTACTCGGTTGATTAAAAAATAGTTGAGCTAGACTTATAAACTCTTATGTCTAAGATTTCAAAAGGGTTGATTCAAAAGTATTAAACACTGTACTATTTGAAGCACCATCCTCTTAAACTGCACAATAGCAAAGTACCAACCTTCACCACCAAGCCAGCATTGACACCTCTTCTTTTCATAAGCATTAAGAGTGGCTCCTCAAAACCTTCATGATAAAACCCGGCAACAATTGCTTCCTTCCCACGGGCCTGTTGAGAAAGCAATAGATATTTCATATCTCTGTATGGTGCATCCCAAATTTGTATAACAATGCTAGGGTACTTATCACTTCAATCAATATTTCGATTGGAGGTATTGCATGAGAAAATTATGTTATTTGTTGATGCCTACTAATTTTTCAGAATTTAAAGTAGATAAATGAATTGCATGGTAGGTAAACAAGTATTCTGCATACGTACTATTTTGTGTAGATTCTAAATTTTACACAGATTTCTCTGCATAAAAATGCCAGTCGAGGTTTCAATGTGATATTTTATTTTTCAGGGAATAGAAATAATAAACCATACTAACAAGTTATCAAAAGAAAACAGTGATGTTGCTTACCTTCACAAATTGCTGAACCTTTTCAGTTGTCGCCAGTGGGGGACGTTTCTTAATATGCTCTCTCAACTTAACTAATGAATATCTGCAGAAGTCAAAGAAATGTCGTTAATTATCAGTATCATCCCAATTACAGTAAATACTAAGCTGAGCGTGCCAAAATGTTGGCTAGAGATTCACACAGAGAAGGGCGGGCTTCGCGTTGACTTATATAGGCAAAACCAGTGTCTTCATCCTGAAATAACAGAATAAAGAATTAAACCACAACCCGAAAGACATAAAAACAAAGGAGTGAGTAAGCATGGTAAGAAATATATGGGAACCACAGATACCTCAAGAAGTACTTTTGCTTGCGACGGGGTAACACTCGTATTTGCCCCCATAAACTTAAGCATCTGTTCTTCAGTAACACCTCCCTAAAAAAAACCAGAAACATCATTACTCCGGCTTTATTAGTTTCTGTTATCAGTCAATTAGTTGAGCGGGGATGAAATATCACCTTAGGCGGCATCCAATCCAAGCCGTGAAGCAAGCAAGATTCCGAATAGCAAGATCGAACCGCAGCAACAAACAATGTGCTCCTAAAGAAACGAGTGTTGCCATCGTACGGTTCACCATAGTGGGTAAGTGATTTAACATCAGCAATTGGAGTATCACCTAATTAATCAACCATTAAGCAAATAATTCATCCTATTAATAGAAACTAATTGGGATATTAATTAGACTAGAGCTTACCGAGTTCATCATCAAATGCAAGGCAGTAAGCTTTCAGCTCACGGTCCGTTTCTCTGTTCATCCGCTGACCAATCAACAATGCCGAAAGCAACGCTTCACTCACACCATCGGACGACGTTCCATCATCCACTGACTTCAACGGAAGAACGTCTCGCAGCACGCCTTGGACTTCTTCGAATCCGAGGTGGCCGCCAGCGAGGACCTCCCGGAGGGCGCCGACCAATCTCATATCGCTCGCGCCGTTCCCGACGAAATGGGGTCCGATTGAGCTTCCCGCGCCCATCAACGACCCCTCTGGATCGGCAATGAACACAACGTCCGCCGGAAGAGCCCGAACCAGAAGCGGCCAGAACTGGTTCATCGCGCGGGTCTCGCCCTCGCTCCACTGCGTCGCCTCCGGAAAAGCGTTGGCGCGAATCGACATTGCCGCGAAAAATGCGCCGAGCTGCGACTTCGACACCGGCTCCTCATCCTTCAGCTCGCCCTTAACCGATCTGTAAATGGTATCGAGCACCTTGAATGCCTGATCCTCGCTGAGAGGCTTGGTCTGTGTGGGGCCCGTGCAAACCCTAGTCTGAGCTTCCAGCACCGTCTGATTCGGCTTCGGAATATCGGAGCACCGATACGAAGACGAAAACGTCGGGTTTCGGGTATCGGATTCCGGGATGTTTGATTTTTTGACGGTGACGGATTCCAACACGGCTTTGGTGGTTAAGGTTAGTTTTCTTCCGGTACGGCGGCGGGCGGTATATGCGGGAAGGTTGAGGAGTGTTTGGGTGAGAGAGTGAGTGAGGCTGCGATGCTTGGCGGTGGTGGAAGTGGTGGAGATAGAGGTGAAAGGAGAAGGTTCTGGATTGAGAAGAGATTTCATGGTTTGCTTTTCTTCGCTGCTGTGTTTTCTTCTTCCTGCAGCTGGCGCTGCTTCGGGAAGAACGCAAAACTGGAGATAGCGCCCACGCTATAAACCTTTTGTTTATTATTCTTCGAACCAGGATTCTCTCCTGAGCATTTCCCTAGGATCCTAGTGATCCCGCAATCATGTCCGTTTATCATGTATCGTACGATCAGAAATTATTTAAAATTTAAATTTTAAAATTCAAATATGAATAGTACCTAACGAAAACTGACCGCACGATATAAAATGAACGGACAAGATTGCAGGATCCCTAGGAAAATGCTCATGAGAGAATCCTGGTTCTTATTCTTCAACGTTCGAACGTGGTTTTTATTTTTGAGAAATGCTAAAAGCTAAAACTTTAGTGCGAAATTAAATTTGAAGATTAAATTTGTAAATTAAATTATGTGTCATTAATATGAATAAGTACGTTTAATGTTTAAGTAATAAATTAATTATCAACTTACATGTTTTTTAGTTTTTAAAACTATATCAACAAATTTAGTCTCACTAGCATTACTCAAACTAAAAAATATGACTCTCTTTCACTTTTTTTTCTTGGGGTGTGCTATCTACACACCCATTTTTACTTCTCACACACCCCTTGTTAATTTTTGTCCGTTGATCTTCTTCAATTCATCTGATCCGACGGCCAAAAACCAAAAAGGTGTGGAAGAAATAAAAAGAGGTGTGTGGATATCACACCCCTTTTTCTTTTGTATAATGTGGTTACTGTAGTCGGCGTTAAATTGTGAAATGGTAAAAAGTCCATGAAGAATAAGAGAGCTTCCTTAACATATTTCTGTTTCATTTTTTTAATACTAAAGTGTGCGGGCATTGAGCTAAGTCACACAATAGTTCAAAAATAATAAGTTGGTTCGAATTTATTTCAACAAAAATAGAACTTAAGAATGTATCAATAATAATAATTTGTTTTGAATTCGTTTTCGACCAAAATAAAACTTAAGAAGGTGTTGCATATCTAATGGAGATGAAAGATGAGTAGGTATGATAGCAACCGCGTGATGCAGATCAAATGGGACAAGGATTGTCTGCCCTCCTAGTTGTGGTGCCCTTCCATGCCCTCTTATTTTGTGCGGTCACGGTTAAGCCACGTCAATATTTTATATTAATTTTTTAATGAGATAATAAGACAAAAAATAATAAAAATATAAAATATTGACGTGACTTAACCGTGACCGCACAAAATAGGAAGACATGGAAGGGCACACAACTAGGAGGGCAGACAATCCAAGTCCGATCAAATGAAATAGAAGCAGGTGGAGAGGAAAACATGATAACACGAAAGTAGGTGAAAAGGATGTATACTGAGAGAAACAGCCGAGAGAAAATAGGAATTTAGGATTTAGGTGTCAGTGTTAGAGAATAGAAAATGATTTATTTGCAGGTTGAGTTTCAACTATATATTCTAGAGTCAAAATTTTCTTATTTCATAAATTATTGTAATAGTTTTAAATTATTTTTTTTTAATAATAATAAAAAAAATTATTAATATTTTTGTAAGTATTTTGGGTTAATGATCATTTAAATATTTCAGTTACGTTCATATCACAAAGTTCACAACAATTATAGTTGCTCAAGTTGTTCGGTGGTAACCATTCCACCTTTAAGATTTTGGATGTTTTAACGAAAAGTTCACGGTACTGTTCACTTTAACGAAAAACCACATTTTTACACTAAAAAATCAAACCTGATACTATTTACTTTACCCTTTATTTTGTCTTTATAGTTAAAACTCAAAATTTTCAAGTCATTTTCATTAGTTTTCCTTTAAGATTTTTTATTGACTTGATCTCGTTCAATCAATGGGCCAATTTTTGGTTCAATAATTACATCACTAATCATATTCGAACTCAACTACAAAGAGATAAACATACTTTCTTAATTAGCTTGCCTGACTCACACATGTCGAAAAGAAATATAATTAAGCAAATAAGCAAAAGATTTTGCAAATAATGCTCTGCAGTAACAAACATAAACGTATCATGATGCAAGTTGATTCCCACAAATTTATCTTTCCATAATAACTAATTATTTAACTCACCAACGTTATTACTTGTGAACAAAATAAGCAAAAGATTTTAACACCTATCAATTAGTTAATTAACAAATTAAACTCTTTTATTTGTGGTAAATAATTTATGGTTGTCTATAAAGAGCGCAGAGACGTGGCAGGGAAATTTTTTAGCATGATCGGAAAATCAATGGTACATTACGTATCACTAAAATTTAATAATTTCAAAAATAAAATTTATGATCACTTATATAAAAACACGTGGTGTACTATCTGTATTCCGGTCACAATGAAAATTTTATTGACGTAGCGACCTAGTACGAACCCTCACACCTGACCACTGTTACCACTCTCTCGTCGAGTAGGATTCTCTACCCTCCTATTATCATCCCTTCTCTTACACTCTTCTTTTTGTCTTATTCTCTATATAAAAAAAATTCAAAACAAGATATAAATGTGACGTAATTGCAACCATTTAAATAGAAGGCCGAAGGGAAAAAAGATTAGGAGGGGAGAAAATCTACTCCCTTGCACAAGTCACTCCCTTGTCCTTCTGAATTCACTCCGTTTCGTTTTCAATTCGGCTGCGTTGGGGCCAAAAAGCATAAACCCAACGACCAATAGAGCCTTGAAACAAACAAATGGGGGACCTCACTGCTCTTGCTTTCTTACCAAGGAAACGTAGAGGGAAGAACCCGGCGAAAACGACTTCCGGGGCCGCCGTCAGAGAGCGGTGGGAGGTCCATTTCTCCCGCTTCTTCCGCTACCCTCCGGCCCACTCCACGTGTCCTGATCTCGTTCCTCTGCCCACCAGGATCAGAAATCGATCTCCAGCTGGCAACTGGGTCTCCTCCTCCTCCTCCTCCCTGGCTATGCTCCAGCTCGCTCACGATCACTCCTCCTCCGACGTCCTCCTCACCGTCTGCTTCGCCGGCAGGGTTATGGTGAGGCCACGTTTTCTCTCAGGGATTTTGAACTGTCGATTCCGTTTGGTTGCCGAGAAAATCAATGAAAATGGGTACTCAATAAGTAGGCCTGTTTTCCATACGTACACTGCGCATTTTCTCAGCAACCAAACGGCGTTTGAGCTCAAACGCCGTCTGTGATATGATAAATAAAACGAGTAATTGTAATTTGTAAGTGCTAGATTGTTTACAGCATGCTTCTGCCCGTGATTAATCGTACGGCGTCGTCCTGGCTTGTTTCCGAAAGGAGAAGCTCATGAACTGTAGCCTGTAGCCTTGTAACCTTGCAGGCAAAGTATTCGATGGACGTTCACTGTTAGATATTAATTAATTAGCTGTTAAGTTCCCATTAGTTTCCTTAACTCGTGTTTGATTATTTCCTTTTTGATACGTAAAATGCTTGAGCATTTAGGCCAGACTCTCTTTGTCCCCAGTTTTTCGGTGTCGCTGAGATTCGAAGATTTCATCTGGCAACTCTTTGAATGATTGTGATTTAACATGTTGCAGGAGGAGCACTATGTTTCCAAGCTGCAGTATGTTTGGCCTCACGTTTCATGCAACCCGGGACTTCCTGCCAGGGGTACCAGGGCCGTGTTTATCAGCTACCGAGACTGCATGGGCGAGGCAAGCCGCAATGCTTCTTTTTAGGCTACATGGATACAAATTATTAGTTGAAGAACTCACAGTGCCCTTGTGTTGTATCTTGTTTGCAGGTCCAGAAGTTCGCGTTGCGATTTTTGTCAGTTGATGAGGCAGAGAGATTTATGAACTCTTTGAAGGTGAATCATTGTTGCAAACAATGTAACGTGTGTTTTTAGATAGATATAAGACATTTTCCTTTGTATTGCAATGGTAATGGTGTTACGATTGGTTTGTTTATTCAGGCGATCTTTGACATTGAACCTCCTCATACTGACATGGGATCTGAAATTTCAGCACAGTCTGAGTTCACTTATTCGACTGGACCACCCCTCGAACGGTAAAAACAAAACCTGCTATCTTCTAAATTCTTCATTTTCCCCTTGATGAGAAACTGTGATGGTGTTTTTTTGTGTTTCCAGGGTTTGCACGGACTTTGTCATGACTCCGGCTCAGACTTATACCGCTCAAATACCGCCAAGCTTCGGCAGTGCAGCTCAACAATACTCACAGGCTCAGCAGATGATGCACATTCATAACTTTCAGCAAAACCTTCCAGTCGTTCGTCCAGGTTTCACCGCATTGCTGAATGACTATCACCACGCTGTTGAACAAGGTAAATTACTTATTTTCCGACAATTGAACACGGTAGAATGCAAATTTACTATCATTAATCACGATTGAATGTACGGGCAGCACGATCAACTGCATCAGAGGCGGTAAATCTCAACTCCCATGTCATGCCTCCAAGTTTCACCTCATGGCTTGGGAACTCTCAACCTGTTTTTGAACAAGGTACATTCGTCGCCTTAGCAGTAAATGGAAATTTCACTCAACGAAAAATTTGTTCTGATTCCATGCGATGAACTGAAACATTGTCCTTGATTGAATGACTCAGTGGCAACACAAGAAGTCATTTCGCCGGAAGCCAATCTGATATCCCAACTCGCGGTAACTATTTCTAACGCCTCAAAATTTCTCGTCATAGACGATGTTCTTTGTCAGCAAAACAATGTGATTCCATGCGATGAAGTATTAACACAAATGTAAATGCTTGTGCATCAGAGTTACAGGGGAGATGCTTCCTTCCAAGGTAGCTTCACTTTATACCTTTTTACCTTCTTACCTTCTTTCCTTCTTTCTTTCTGATGAGAATCCTTTTAAGGTAAGTTATGATCTGCTGCGACGCGTGAAATGCTAATTTGTTTCTAATTATTTCTTTCTTCCCTGTTATTTTCCAGATATGTTGAGTAACATGGAGAGAGTTATCAGTGAAATGGGGGGTGATTTGACTCTCTAGTTTTTCATGAGCTCTGTCTCTAAGATTTGTATATGAAGGCCTTAACCATCTCATTTTATTTGATCTTTTAATGATATGATCTAGGTTGAAAGTTTTAATTGGAGGTATTTTAATTCTTTCTGCAAGATTGTCACTAGTACTACATTTTAATAGTATTTCTCGTCATTTTGTGAGTGAGAAATTTTAAGTTTCACTCCCGTGTATAGTGAGTATAGTGAGTACAATACCAAATTATTATAAATGAATGACCCATTGTTAACTTAGCTGAAATCTCTTCACCCCTTAGCAGTGGAGGATCCATAATCGAATCTTGGGGGGTTCCATTGTTAAAGGTTCAAAATTTTTAGATAGAAATAGAGCGTGAAACGCGCAAAATATATTTAGTTTATTCACTAAGACATTTCGTTGAACACTTTGTGAGTTTGTTACTAGCTGAATCAAGTTGCACACATGTCGACGAATATTGACATATGCTAAAGTAATCTAATGAGTGCTACTGAGAGAATTTGAAGAATTTTGTCGACGCAATATGCAAAAGGCCTTTCATTAAACACTTGGTGAACACAAAAATAATCCATATCAAACATTTAGAGGGACTAAAAAAACCTTCACATATATATTTCTCAGAATCCGATTGGTCCTGGACCACCTAGGTCCCCATATGCATCTACCACTAATCCCTGGTGTAAAATATCGTTGTATAAAAAATTTGCACACGGTCTCTTCACATAAAAGTCCTACAGATCCAAACTTTGTCTCCTAGTTTTAGACACTTAAAATACTATTTTCAAGGAAAAAATAACGATTACATTGTTATTGCACTATAATTAAGGGTTTTTTTCTTCTCTTTAATTGGATTTTTAAGTGGTTCTTGCTAACATTATGAAGTATAATAGTTGTAAGAACATATGATTCTTCTAAGTATTTAGACATAATTTTTTTTCCAAATGCTATTGCAAATTTGCAGGCAATAAAATTACAATCCGGCTCCAAGTTTGATGACAGATAAACTCAAGTAAATACGGTTAAAGAGAGGTAAACAAGATTAACTAATCGCGGTAATTAAAAAACGCGCGGGACGTGACGACTTTTGGTCTACCAATGCCCCAATCCCACAGCGCCACCTGTCCGTCTTTCCTTATAAATTCATTTCTTCCTTACTCGATTCTCCACAAATTTGAATTCCAATTTCGTTGCGATGGCCCCAAACAAGCAATGCGGAGTGAAGAAGCGGAAATTAAAGAGAAAGAGTCTGGAAAAAATGGCGGACTCTCTCTCTCTGGTTGTGATACCGAACGAAAGCGCAGAGTTGGCGGCGACGGCGGCAGCTGCGAGCGCCGCCATTAAAGGGCAGTGGGAGGTCCACTTCTCTCGCTTCTTCCCCTATCCTCCTCAGATATCCACGTGTCCCGACCTCGTCCCTCTGCCTCCTAAATTCAGAAAGCGACGGCCGCGTAACAACTGGATCCCTTCCTCCTCCCCCGCTCAGCTCCAGCTGGCTCGCGATGGCTCGAGCTCCGACGCCATCCTCACCGTCTGTTTCACTGGAAAGACTTTGGTGAGCCTACTCTTGTCTCGATCAGTTAACTTCTCGTCTTGTAATTTGTTAGTTCAGTTTTCTCTTTGAAATTTTCTTTCGACTGCTGATTTGTGTTTGGCTGCTGAGAAAACCGAGGGAAAGTGAATAAACTAGTACGAATTGAAATTCTAGTATCCAAACGGCGCTGAGACTTCATTTGAATTTAATTGGCGAGATTTGTGTTGAATTTTCAGATCCTTTTAGAAATATGTTCCTGAATACTTCTTTTGATTTTGATTTTCTATATTATTACGAGTGTTTAGGATCGATTTAGTCTAAAATGTACGGACGCTGTGTCATTTCATTATGGCCTAGCTGTTTGGTTACTGGAAGCATTACTTAGCGGTCTGAATAATCGCTATTCGGCATTAAATCAAGGCCAAACATCTCCGATAATCGCAATTCTGGAAGTAGAATTAGAGTGATTTGTTAATTAATTATCTATATTTGGACATTCAAATCAAGTAGTCTGAGTACGTCTTCATGAATTTTCCGAATCTAGAATTTACGAGGCCTTTTTCTTCAAGTTATTTAGCATGTTTATTTCTACTAAATGCTAAAACTCTTTGAATTGCTATAATTTGACATGGTTCAGGAGGAGCACTATGTTTCGAAGCTACAGTTTGTCTGGCCTCAGGTTTCATGCATGTCTGGATTTCCTGCGAGGGGCACCAGAGCCGTGTTTGTCAACTACAAAGATCCTGCGGGCGAGGCAAGCTGCTCAATCCTTGTTTCAGATATATAGTTCATTTTTGTGTATGATAGGCAGTATCTGTTATGTTTATGATACAGGAAACGGAATAATTCGAAACTCACATTGCCATTGTGTTGCATCTTCTTTGCAGATCCAAAAATTCGGCCTGCGATTTTTGTCTCTCTCTGAGGCAGAGAAGTTTATGAATGCTTTAAAGGTGAATCCATTACTTCTGGCAATTTAAGTGCGTTATTGCAATATTAGTTTTCGTAAAGAAAAAAGGGAACATGTTTGATGCTCATTGTCAGTATAGAAGACTATTTTTTTTTGTCTTGCAATGGTGGTGTTAAATGGCTAATTTGTCAGGAGATTTGCAAGGAAGGGAAGGATAACGAAGCTGTTAATACTGACTGCGGACCTGAAATGTCATCACAATCTGGGTTGGTCTCTTCCAATAGACCCCACTGTCGGTAAAAACAAAACTACTGTCTCCTGAAACTTCATTCTCCCTTCACGGTGGAAAAGTCGAAGAGTAGTGATAGTTAATTCTGTGTTTTCAGGGCTTGCAAGGACTCGACTACTATGACTTCTGTTGAGACCTGTACGCCTCACATATCGCCAAGTGTTTTGGACAAGGAAGCTGATCAAACTGTTCAGACTTACATGCCTCAAATATCACCAAGCTTGTTGAAAAACGAAGCTGATCAAGCTGTTCAGAGTTATAAGCCTCAAATTTCACCATGCTTGTTGAAGAGCGAAGCTCGTCAATCCTCGCACACTCAAGAATCCATGCATATTGATAACTTTCAGAGCAACTTTGCAGCCTTGCCTCCAAGTTTCACCTCATTTCTGAGCAACTGTGGCCCTGTGATTGAACAAGGTAGGTTTCTTCTTTCAAGTTTTGTTTGTCTTATTCGGGGATAATTCGGACACGGTAGATTGATTGCCACAAAAGTAAACAGGAAATTTTATTCTGATTCCATGTGATGACTGATGAACCATTTTCCTTGATTGAATGATGCAGTAATGGCAACACAACCAACTGCTCCACAGGAAGAAGTTCTCAAATCCCAAATTGCGGTACCTTTTCTTGACGCGTCAGTTTAATGGATTTAATGTTCTCAGTCAGCATAACGAAATGGTTGTTTGTGCCTATTAGTACACGGAATTGTTGCTATGCTTTCTTTGTAAACAGTGCATTTGCATACTAGTTACTGATGTTCTACTGACGTACTGCTGATGTATTAACATAAATATTTGTTGTTTTGCAGAAATATATGGAAGATGCTTCCTTCCAAGGTAAGTTGTCTTCTGAAATTAACATGTTGCAAACTTTTATACTTGATGCCATATCGGTCTTTGTTCTTTCTTTACATCAAACAACTTTGTCCTAATATTAGTGAAAATGCATATTTCATTACTTCTCACTGAATTCGGAACTTGCTGGTTCCGGCATGTAGATTGTAACTTAAGTTGATGTCTTTGTTTGCGCATGTATATACACACTAAAAATTTGAACACCGTCACATTGAGAAGTTGCTAATATCTCAAACCGATTATGCACTACCATGTCACGTAAAAGCTGCTTGATAATATATCCTATTACTTGAAAGTTGATTCGTTTCTTGTTTCGTTCTTTTTCCCCTGTTATTGCCAGATATGTTGTTTAAAGTGGAGAAAGTTATCAGTGAAATCGGAGGTGATATGCTGCTGTAATTGTTCATGGCCCTGCACCTGCAGTATCTGAAGCAGTTCTTCTACAGTTCCCCCAGCCGTGAACCAGCTTTCACCACCTACCGCCCAAAACTTGTTCATCCTCCCCTCTCTTAATTCAAAATGTTACACAAGTTGCTTATATTAGGGTTTTATAGTAGATACAGAGTTATAACATCAGTGAATTGGTAACCCCACGTTTTGTTTCACGATGATTACACCGAAAAATCAATCAACAAATTGTTCATTTAACAAGTACATTTAATTGTTATAAACATACAACAAGCTTCCTCCAGGCCAAGCCACACTTGGTGTTTGAAAATTAAGAGCTGAAATATGTGATCTTAGTTAGTTAGAGTTAGTTAAAGTTCCGACAATTCTTTCTTATCTCTCCTGCATCTCCAGTGAGAACATTGATTCTCCCCATCTTAATTATGGCCCTAACAAATTGCCGAGCCCAAGAATCAGACCTAATAGCCAGTTTCGCCACCTCCGCGCCGGTGCGAGGATCGGTCCCCAGAGCCTGATCCAATTGCATCAATGCTCTCCCTTGCATCAGGTTCGTGTAATAGTGATTGTCCAGGACAAGCGGTGTGGCATCTAAGTCGACAACCCTGTTTTTAGCCTCCTCAGCTGGCAATGTGTTGGGTGCAGGGCACTTTTGAGCCAGCTCAGCCGCAAACACTGGGTTTAGTGAAGGGTCTTGTGGCATGCCTGGTGCGAAATTGTACAGCCTGTAATCGAAGAAGTTGCAGTGGACCGCCCCGATGGAGTGCGCGCCAAACAAGACGACCATTTCCTCGGGGGTCAAGTTTCTTCTGGAGAAGAAGTCTATGATCTCGTCCATTGGTGTTGCGGGAGAAGGAAGAATGACATCGGAGGCACGGGAAGTGCGGCTGTCGCGGCGTCCGGCGGGGACTTGGTGACGGGGTAAACCGGAGAGAGCCACAGCTTCCCGAGTGGCAAAGGCTAGTATGTCGGCGCAGGAGACGGTTTCCGGGCATTCCTGCTCTAGCCTAGCCTTGATCTCTTCAATGACTTCGATACCTCGAATTCCACCGCTGGCCGGTGATTGCATCTCTACGGGCTCGTCAGAGGGCGTGGCATCCAGCAGAATTGATGCATCGCATCCCTATGCATTCATGAATAAATTGTTATCAATGAACAATTTTAAATAAGTAATTCTTCTTCGCTAGCAAATCACAATTTCACATGTGAAGAAACTTTTACGAATGATAAACTATGATTTGTAGATAACGAAAATGACTTATTACATGTAAGGAATCAAACAGCGTTAACTTGTATCGCAAAAGGCACATACCTTCACAAAGCAGTCGTGGAAGAAGAGGCGAATGAGGCCAGCAGGAAGCTTTTGGTCCCTCTCTACAGCCTTGGCCACAACGTCAGTTACAATTTGCTCCAAATTGGGACATTTCCGATCGTAGAATCCAACATGCAACCCATTCCCCGGGTTGTTCACCTCATCCGCCGAACAAGGAACGACGATCATGGAACACAAGATGACGACAAAAACTGCCGTGGCAATTAAACGAGGGCCCATCTCCATGGTAAAAGATCGATGACTGTGACTTGCAATGCCACAACCTTAGCTAGAATTGTTTGTTTTCCTTCCCTTGTTTGCCACAACCACGACGGAGACATGGTGCTGGGTTGTGCTTATATACAATGCACAACCGCGTGGGTAGGGGTTTTGGTAGTTTCTATGATTTCACATAACTGAGTGAATTAGGTTCGCCTTTGTTTTGCCTCGTTGTTGGTTGTTAAAATTGCAATAGTCTAGAAACATGACCTTTTTTTTTTTTTTTTTTTCTTCCGGGTAAAACCTTAAAGTCAGTCCTGCTCCAACATCGTTTGTTTTGGTTAGGTATATTTTTTTTCACAATTTGTTAGGCTCTTTTATATTTGTTGATGCACAAAATCAGTAAAGATTTTGGAACAACGCAAAATGTCAAGTTTGTGACATTCGTTCGGTTGCTCCGGTCACTAGTGAGGATAAATATGTAAAGAGATAGAGATAGAGAAGCAAACGCAAGATGCATGTGGTTCACCCTAGAGTAGAGGAGTTCTCATTAATAGTGAAGAGTTTACACAAATACATAGGTTAATACATAATCATCCTTGGTGTGTTCTAATGACTAGTTTAAGTACAATAATGACATTAGGGATTAATTGTAGGAGAATGGTCTTCTTTTATAGTTGAGGAGAGTCTCCAACTTTTGTCCGCAGTCGATGTGGGATGTTTTGAGCTTTATTATGACATTGACATGTGTCGTGCTGTGATTGACCTCTTAGTTGGAGGAAAATTCTTATGCTTCGGTAGGGGTGCCTTAGCATGAACCCCTCAGTGGGTTCTTGAAGGTATGACGTTGACCGATGCTTTGTAATTTCAGAATTGGTCAAGTATAGGACAAACAATGCTCCTCTCAGTTCCCGAGTGAGGAAATCTCGGTTGGGGACTTGACAAATCCAAGTCACTAAGTAATCATAAAACTTTTGAGTACCGAAGTATAGTAGCATATAATGGGAGTTCCCAAGTCTCTAAGCGAGGAGGGTTGCCAAAAGAGACGCCTTTAAAGTTTCCAGGTCATCAAATGAATAAAAAAAAAACCCACTAAGGATGCTGGTGAGCCTTAAATAAAAAGCCCACGGGGGAGCTTTTATATTACTGGTGAGCCTTGGACACGATGTCAGCCATAATTTGCTCCACATTCGGGCATCTGTAATTGTAAAACCCTACATTTGAGCCTTTCCCGAGGCCTTTTCCAGCTGCCTCTGTACAAGGAACGATGCTGATGCATAAGGTGAAGAAGATTGTACATTGCGTTGACCATTACACGAAGCATAATGTGTGTGTTCGTTAATTAATACGGTTAATGGTTGCTTTTCTTCCTCGGTCAGAGGATGCTGGAGTGAGAAGTAGGAATTTTGCTTATTTTAAACTGCCCAAAACTGAGAACAAAAATATCGACTCACCAAAAAAAAAAAAAAAAAAAAAAAAAATTTCGGAATATAGCAAATGTTTAGGGCTCAAATATTTTAATTTTTTTTGTTGGAATATTTTCCTGTAATTAGTTAACAAATGTTCACAAGTCGATTGCTTTCTATTTTCTTGTTGTTTACTTGTTACACAAGTTTCCTTATTTTGTATGTTAAACTAACTCCTTTTTTATTTGAGTGATACATTTTAAACTAACTCCTATTTTTCAAACAAAAACCCAATTAATATTAAACATTCAAATAAAACCCAAATTTCAAACCCAAATTTCAAATAGACTACCATGTAGATAAATATATAACCAATTATTACAACATATTTACAACTTATGCCACAAAACCCTAATTATGTTAATAAATATTATTACTCACCCTAATTATGATTAGCAATTAACCCCATATGAAAATTTTACCTTTTTTGTTTCATAAATATTATTAACATATATATATATATATTAATTTACCCATATTCATAAACAATTATAGGCATATTTTTTGTATAAAAAAAAAGGATCCTTTGTATAATCAGTTATTTTGCATCAAATAATATTGTTTGATAAATAAAAAAAAACAAGAATCAATTAACATTCTTTTATTTTGTAGGTAAATTATTTTACACGGATTATTACATACATTAGCCATTTTGATTTGTTATTATATATGCGTGTCAAAAATAATTTATCTATATTTATATGTAAAGTATAAGTAAATTAATTTTTTATAAGAATTAAATAATAGGTAAATTATATTGTAGGTACAATATGTTTTTTTTTAAAGAAAAATTGAAATTTATAAACAAAAAGTAGTACATATATTATATTTTCAATCAAATTACATTCCTTTATTTTGTAGATAATTTTTTTTAAAGCATTGTTACATATACCGGGCACATTTTAGTACTAATATATATATATATATATATGTGTGTGTGTGTGTGTTTGTGTGTGTGTGCAAATGTATATTAGTTTTAGTAGGAATTATATATTGTAGGTACATTACATTTGTACAAAAAAAAAAGGTAAATTAAAATTCATAAAAAAAAGGTAGTAGATATATATATATATTTTTTAATCAATTTACATACCTTTATTTTGAAGATAAATAATTTTACATGCATTATTACATATATTGGGCACATTTGAGTAATATATATGTGCAATTATACTTTATTATATCAAATGTAGATAAATTAATATTGAATCAAATAACATTTTTTTTATTTTGTAGATAAATTATTTTGCATGTATTATTACATATACTGGGAATATTTTATTACTAACACATATGTCCAAATAATTTACCTATGTTTTTATGTAAATTACTCCATAGTTCTCTTTCAGTTTCCATTTGGTAAGAAAATGACAAGATTAAGTTAAAATTGTTATTTATTTATTTATTTAAAGGAAAGTATAACATTAATGTTTATTTATTTTTTGCCAGAAGCATTAACATACAATTTGTTATGATATATTAATATACAATGAATTTAAACATTAATACATTTTTTTTCATTAATCCCTCCCTTCAAATCTACATAGAATTAAATGTTTACATTAAAATTGTAATTAAGGGTATTTTAGGCATCTGAAAGATGCAAAATGTGTAAAGTCAAACAAAATTAATGAATTTGCTTATGTGGAGCCTAGTCATTGGGTTTTATTCAAGTAAAAAGACTATGTCGGGTTTTATGTAAAGAAACTTGAGTTTCAAGGGCTAAAATCATATTTGCAGTAACATAAATGAATTGGTAATCTCACGTTTTGTTTCACAATGATTACACCGAAATATCAATCAACAAATTGCTCATTTAACAAGTACATTAATTGTTATAAGTAAGAATATTTTAATATTCTAAAGTGGTCCATATGACACGGTCCATATGATATGTAGGGTTTAACGGATATTATTATTTGTAAATAATACTATTGGTCAAATTATGAGAAATGTTTCCTATTGAATTACTGTGATGGGTGGTAATTGATTATGGGCTTTAAATAGAAAAGGGTCCTCTCTCTGCCTCACTTATATATATTGCATATACCTATCTAAGATGCACTTGATAGAAAAAACACGATTAGGGTTTTCATGCGCAAATAGAGGCAAGAGAGAGAACACCTATTTCCTCCACTGCTGACAGAATCCGTTTGGGATCTCATAGCGTTCGTTGTGATGGATCAAGGTACGCTTGGTTGTTTAATGTATTTCCACATTGTATTTGTATGTGAAAATCATGAAGTTCGATGATCTTGGCTTAATTGTTTTAAGATTTACATTATAAACATACAACAAGCTTCCCCCAGGCCAATCCACAATTGGTGTTTAAAAATTAAGAGCTGAAATATGTGATCTTAGTTAGTTAAGAGTTAGTTAAAGTTCCGACAATTTTTCTTATCTCTCCTGCATCCCCAGTGAGAACGTTGATTCTCCCCATCTTAATTATGGCCCTAACAAATTGCCGAGCCCAAGAATCAGACCTAATAGCCAGTTTCGCCACCTCCGCGCCGGTGCGAGGATTGGTCGCCAGAGCCTGATCCGATTGCATCAATGCTCTCCCCTGTATCAGGTTCATGTAGTAGTGATTGTCCAGGACAAGCGGTGTAGTATCTAAGTCAACAACCTTGTTTTCAGCCTCCTCACCCTGCAATGTGTTGGGTGCAGGGCACTGTTGAGCCAGGTCAGCCGCAAATACTGGGTTTAGTGAAGGATCTTGCGGCTGACCTGGTGCGAAATTGTACAGCCTATAGTCGAAGAAGCTGCAGTGGACGGTGCCGATGGAGTGCGCGCCAAACAAGACGACCATTTCCTCTGGGGTCAAGTTTCTTCTGGAGAAGAAGTCTATGATCTCGTCCATTGGTGTTGCGGGAGAAGGAAGAATGACGTCGGAGGCACGGGAAGTGCGGCTGTCGCGGCGTCCAGCGGGGACTTGGTGACGGGGTAAACCGGAGAAAGCCACAGCTTCCCGTGTGGCAAAGGCTAGTATGTCGGCACATGAGACGGTTTCCGGGCATTCCTGCTCTAGCCTAGCCTTGATCTCTTCAATGACTTCGATACCTCGGATTCCACCGTTGGCCGGTGATTGCATCTCTACGGGCTCGTTAGAGGGCGTTGAATCCAACAGAATTGATGCATCGCATCCCTATACATTCATGAATAAATATTGTTATCAACGAATAATCTTAGAGAAGTAATTCTTCATCACAAACAAATCAAAATTGTAATTTGCAGGTGACGAAAATGGTTCATTACATGTAAGAAATCAAGCAGCGTTATGTTGTATCGCAAAAAGCACATACCTTCACAAAGCAATCGTGGAAAAAGAGGCGAATGAGGCCAGCAGGAAGCTTTTGGTCCGTCTCTACAGCCTTGGCCACAACGTCAGTCACAATTTCCTCCAAATTGGGACATTTCCGATCGTAAAATCCCACATGCAACCCATTCCCCGGGTTGTTCACTTCATCTGCCGAACAAGGAACAGTGATCATGGAACACAAGGTGACGGCAAAAACCGCCGCTGTAATTAAACGAGGGCCTATCTCCATGGTAGAAGGATCGATGACTGCTTGTGACTTGCAATGCCACAGCCTTAGTAGAATTGTTTTTTCTCTCTCTTTTTTGCCACAACCACGACGGATACATGGTACGGGGTTGTGATTATATACAATGCACAAACCGCGTGGTTAGGGGTTTTGGTAGTTTCCATGATTTCACACAACTGAGTGAATTAGGTTTGCCTCTGTTTTGCCTCGTTGTTGGTGGTTAAAATTGCAATAGTCTAGACACATGGTTTTTTCCGGTAAAACCCTAAAGTCAATCCCGCTCCTGAATGTTTATTATGGTCAAAGTTATTTTTTCACAATTTGTTAGGCTCTTCTATATTATATGTATATACAATCGTTAATATGAGTGGATTTAATACACTACATGGATATATATTTGCAATTGTTTTTTACACAAAGCTAATTGATCGTAATGTTAGTTAAAGGGTTCTACAGTTTTTCCTTATCTCTCCATCATCTCTGAGTGAGAACATTTATTTTCCGATCTTGATCATGGCCTTAGCAAATCTTCGAGTCCAAGATTCAGACTCAAGTGGTCAATATTGATTGCCATTTTATTAGCTGTGTAATTGATTTTAATCAACACGTTGATCCTTAACCCTTATCGGAGAAGAAAATCGAAACAAAATGTGGAAGTTCCAGATAAAGCTGTATCGAAAAGCAACAGTCAGACTAATCTAGAAAATTAAACATGTGGGCCTCAATGTACGAGAATCGAGCATGTAGGCTTCAATGTAGGTGGACCTCACCTCTATTAGAGATGTGTTGCACGTTAGTTTAGATGATATAAATAGTACATTGCTATACGTACCTTGACAAAGCAATCATGGGAAAAGAGGCGAATGAGGGCTCCAGGGAGCTTTGAATCTTGCTGGTGAGTCTTGGACACGATTTCGGCCACAATTTGCTACACTTTCGGGCAACCTCGATTGTAAAACCCTAGATGTAAAGCCGTTCCGAGGCCTTTTCCAGCTGCATCTCTACAAGGAACGACGAAGATGACCATGATGATGCATAAGGTGAGAAGATTGTCGCATTGATCATTACACGACGGATAATGTCTTTGTGTTAATTAATACGGTTAATGGCGATTACTGGCTAATGCTTTTCTTAATTTCAAATGCCACAGCAGAACTACGTACCAGTGAATCGTGAATGGTTGCCTGCCTTCCTTGGCGAGAGGATGCATTTTGCTTATTTTCAACCTCCCAAAACTAAGAACAAAAATATCTACTCGCCGAAAAAAGAATTTTCGGAATGTTTTCGATCTCTGGAACTCCCTTTGTTTTCCACCTCTGCTTCTTCTATTGCCCCCTTGCCGGTCACAAGAGTGGCAGCAAAGTCCAAAAGTAGCAAAGGTTTTCTAACTTTGGCGGGAAAATAGCAAATGTCTAGGGTATTTGATATTTTCTTATAATTAGTCAACAAGTCGATTTCTTTCTATTTCTTATTGTATACTTGTTTCACAAGTTTCCTTATTTTCTATGTTAAAGTTAAAACTAACTTATTTTTAGAAAGAGCGTCTCTATTGTGCTACTCCTTGTTTTTCTTTTATGATTCAAGTGACATTAAAAAAAATAACCTAATATAAATATTACGGGATCAAAATTATAATGTGAGTATGGAGAGAGAAGTACACTGCTCTAACCAACTTAACTAAACTAAATTTCCCATCTTTTATTTATTTATTAATCTATGATTGTGACTTAGGTCAACTCTGGAAATTGGAACACCTTAGCATGCTCCAATGTAATAGATTATAGCCTGCTTCGTCCCCTCTCGTCCTTCCCAAAGTCGTATTGACTTTCTTGCATCAAAGTCTCTAAATAGGTTTTTCTTAGCCGGAACATAGCTCCCACGAGCTAATGCCTAACTCCATCGTTACTTACTCTAACCAATTATACGTTAATTCGCTCTTCGTTGCAACCTGATGAAACTTTTCCTTTTCTTTCTCACGTATAATAATGTTCCGTATCGCTGCCTATACGAGGAAATTCCCAGTCGAACGACACCAGTTAAGGTAGAAGGAAAAGGACGCACCAGTGCTTAGCTAGCTCTTAGCAGAGTTCTGAAGGTATATAATTCTGATTAGTAACAAGATTAAAACATAAGCATATATTTAGTTGCTCACGAAGAATATTCTGTTTCCATAATCCAGACCAAAGGGACGGCCGTTCCGTTAATTAGAAACAAAGAAAGAAAATCCAAAATCCAAACGGCCAAGCACGCTCTACAAACGGCAAAAGCAAAGCTCTCTAATATTTCCTTACTGTGCATGAGCTACTGGCTCACAATTTTTATAAATAGTATACTACATGGTATGTTACACTGAACACACACACTAGTTTTATCTATCTATATCCATCGATACTTAATCTTGAACCATCAAATCATATCTCTCATTAGGATTTAGAAACAATTTGTAGATGTGGGTTAGGTTAGTTGGTCTCTGAAATCTTTTGACAGTCCGCCCATCCCATAGCCATGCCTCACCTCACCTCCTTCTTCCTTGCACGTTCTTCTCCCTATTTCTGACTCTATTTCCTGCAGTTTTCGCCGCGGATGCATCCATCAAATCTGCTCTCCTTAACCCTATGAACTGCTCTGTGGAAATCATGACATGTAACGCCTCGCTCTACCACATCAACATCGATCTGAAGATAAAAGAAATCGCAACTTTGTACACCGTCTATCCATCCAAAATCAGACCTATAAAGTACAAGAAGAAACGAGATTCCCACATAAGTGTGCCTTGTTCTTGCCAGAACGTATCCGGCACTGTTGGATATTTCTATGACACAACCTACAAGGTGAAACCGTATGACACATTTTATGATGTCTCAACGCAGATTTACAGTGGGCAGCCTTTGTCAAAGAAGAGCTACCGAAGTTTAAAGTAGATGCCGATTTTCCCATCCATATCCCGTGCGGTTGCGTACAGAGCCAGTCTCAGATTGTGGTGACATATACAGTTCAGGAGCTTGATACAGTGTCGGATATTGGCACACTGCTGTCTGCGAAGATCAAAAACATCGAAGATATGAACAAAAATACGACAGAAAATCCTTCGTTCATAGTTGTGGGTTGGGTGCTGTTTGTCCCCGTGGAAAAGAATGGATTTAGAACATCAAGGCCAGGTGAGACCTCTGTATGAGATTTCATGAGTTGATTTCATTTGTCTGAAATATCTAAGAATCCCTGTCCACTGTTTGAAACAAGTAAAGAATCAATTTTTCTGTGTGTTAAGATATAGAAGAGACGGACTGTCCCAACTTAACCACCTGCACATACGAGCAGGTGCAGAATTTTATACAAAAGGCTTCAATGCAATTAGTAGTGGTGGACCGTGGAACCACTCATTATATGTCATATTTTAGTTTGTCGGGTTTCTGACGTGGAATCAAAATCAAATCGAAATTTACTAAAAATCATATATATTTCATATGTACAAGGATTGATAGTTATTTTCCTTTAATCTTCCACTGCCGATTGATGTAATCCTACACACAAATTTACACAAAATTTTAGAAAATTCACAGTTTAGCTTCTGTCGGAGTTGATCGACCGTTGCCCTTGTTTTGGTCATCAGGATTCAGACACAAGCGGTCAATATTGATTGCAATTTTATTAGCTGTGACATTGCTTTCAGTCAGCACATTGATCTTCATCCTTTATCTGAGAAGAAAACGGGAACAAAATGTGGAAGTTCCGGATAAAGCTGTATCGAAAAGCTTGGCTCTTCACCTATCCTTTTCGTTGCATAATCAGTTGCCTCATAAAGAAAACATGGAAGGTCAGATGAAACTCCAGCAGCATCTCTAATGTAATAATTTGTGCAAGTTAATATGCCTGAAAAGAGAGAAATTTCTGCTCATGACAGTAAATCCATATTGTTGATTTCATAGATGGGGCAGTTTTTGAATCAGACGGACCGGTCATATTTAGCCTTGAGGAGATTGAGGAGATTGAGGAGATTGAGGAGGCTACTGGTTACTTCAATGAAACTAAGAAAATCGGAGAGGGTGGATGTTACACCCATCCCTAATTTAAATTGTATTTTCATTAAGTTTGAATTTATCTTGCTTTTAAATTTTTTTTTTGGTCTTAATAGGTGTGCCAAGGGGCCCACTTTTGTTTGTTGTCCCTGGCCCAAGCCTTCCATCTCTCTCTCCCGGTCTCACTCTTTCTCTCCTTCTCTCTTTCCCTCTTTCTTCTCTCAACTATCTCTGCACTCTCTCCTTCCTTCTGCCCGAGCTCCACACACACACACAAACATATGTACACCCAGACAGCAACCACTCACCACCATCTGGACCTTGTTACCACGAAGCTCAGACTAATGACCCTGAAGCTTGATAGTGGCGGAGCCATTGTTCATTGTCTCCCCGACTTGCTTCATTGTAGGTGAGCTTCGAAGACCTTTTAAACTTTCCCCTTTGGTTCCCATGTTTCGTTTCTAACCACATTGATGTGTTTTGGATGTCAAATTATGAAGAAACACCTAGGAGGAGCTAAACCCAGATTCCATCGATAAACCGTGGTCGTTTGGCCATATTTCAGGCCATTTTCCGGTCAACTCCGGCTACCAATCGGTCCCCACTTAGTATGATTCTCCTCTCCACATTTCTAGCTACATTTTGGCTTTGAATCACTCAATTTGGTTAAGTAACGAAGAAGTTACGAAGCTTTGAAAATTCCCAAAACCTTTAGCCAAAACCCAGTTTTGCAACGAGCACCGCCCCTTTCGAGGCGTTTTCCGGCCAAACCACGGCGAGTTGGCCAGCATGCAGGTATCAATCTCTTCATCTCGTCGAGTACTACAACTTTCATGTTTGGATCACTTGATTTTGATACGTAACGAAGAAGTTATGAGCCGTGGAAAATCAACCACCAAACCGGCCAAAGGGTGGCCTGAAAACCACCCTCAACCCAGGCCCTTTGGGCCGTGCCAAACCCAGGGCTTAGGCCCGTTTAAACCCAAACCCCTTTATTTTAAATTGTTTTTATTGTATTTATTTAAACCAAGGCCTTTGGGCCTTATCTAAAACCCTAAACCCCTAAGTCCAATCCTAGACCCTAAGGGTGCGTTTGTTTGGCCTCATTAAATGGGACTGGACTTGACTGGACTACAGTCCCATGTTTGGTAGGTGCTGGGACTAAGTTAAGTGGGACTAAAGGGGACTCGTTCCGACTAGAGAGCTCGCTAGAGGGTCTTAGTGAGACCCCCCAAAATGAAGCGGACTGCTAAGACGTTCGCTCTTCGCGTCGTCTGCTCCATGACCTTGCCGTCAAATCCTCACAATCCTTCCCCGCATGGATCTTCCTCTTTCTCCCTTGCTCTATCTTTGCACTGACATCCCCGCATGGACCTTGCCGTCAAATCCTCACAGTCCTGCTAGATGCCAAGCCGATCTGCATGACCCAACCTCGATGTCGAGCCGATCTGCAAGACCCAACCCAGATCATGTCCTTTCCCACTCTTTCCTCGTCCTGCTCGAATTAGAGTGTCGTTGTTGGGTATACAAGGAACGCAGCTGCGATTTCGATTTCGATGTCGATTGAAATTCAATTTTTGATTGTTTATGTTTTAGGAGCTTTATCGATTCAAATGGAGGAGAAAGATGTGGTTGCAAGTAGTGGAATTTGGATGGAGAGCTTTATCAATTGAAATGAAAAAAAGTTGTGATTGGAATCTATGGAGTTTGGAAGGAAAAAAATAGACAGAACAGAGGTTTCAGGCAGGAAAAAGAAATAGAAAAAGAAAAAAAAAGAATTAATTTTATTATTTTTATTATCCTACTTCTAATCCGATACTGCACCAAACGCTTCACTAAATTAGTCCTGCTTTAGTCTAGTATAAGCCAGTCCAACTTAGTCCTGAAGCTAGTCCAGTCCGAGATAGTCCGGTGCAACAAACGCACCCTAAAACTCTAAGCCTAAACCCTTTAATCTTTCCAACCCTAAACCCTAGCCGGCTCAAATCCTTTTGTGGAATATTTCATTTGGGAATATTCTATCAGAGAATATTCCGTCAGGGCACGAAATATTCTTTGGAATATTCTATTAGCTTTTACGAAATTTAACCGGGACCCTTCTTATTCTTAGAGTAATTCGACGTTCTGATCCGTTTCCGACATCCGTTTTCCCAAATTCAATTGCTATTATATAATTTTATTAATTAGACCATTTATGTGCTTAGGGGCAATATTTGTGACGTTTCCGTGGTTGCTAGTTTGCGTAGCTCTTCGGCGGCCAAGTATGTGTGAGTGGACCCCTTCTAAAAATACATGTTTTGATAGTAGAAATGCATATATGAAAAGCATGATTTGATGATTATGTTCTATGAAACGCTTTGAGATAACATACTTATTGAGACTAGTTTGAATTATTACTATTTTTCCTATAACCCGTGTTCTTATAGAATATTTGATGGATGACGATATGATATTTAGAACATGTTTCGAACACTTCTTTATAGTATAGATGATTGATGACTTTATACT